TGTCTCTATGGATTTGTCTATTCTGGACATTTTATATAAATTGAATCATAGGATATGTGGTCTTTTTTCTGACTTCTTTCAGTTAGAATAATGCTTTCAAGGTTCACTGATATCGTAGCATATAGCAATACTTCATTCCTTTGTGCTGATGAATAATATTATGCTCTGTAGCTATACCATATTTTTACTTATCCATTCAGCCATTTCTGGACTTTGGGGTTGTTTTCCTCTTTGGGGTATTATGAATAACAATGCTATGAACATTCATGTTCATGTCTTCTTTTCTCTGGGTTATGTACCTAGGAGTAGACTTGCTGGGTCATAAGGTAATCTATGTTTAACAAACTGAGGAAATGCCAACCCTTTTCCATAGTTCCACCATTTCACATCCACACCAGCAATACGTGAGGGTTCCAATTTCTCCACATCCAACAAACACTTGCTATTATCCTTCTGCTTACAGCCATCCTAATAGGTGTGAAGTGGTATCTCATTGTGGTTTTGATTAGCATTTCCCTAATAAATAATGATGTTAAGCATCTTTACGTGTGTATACTGAATATCATGTGCTCATTTGAATATCTTCTTTAGAAAATATCTATTCAGATTCTTTGTCCATTTTTAAGTTTGGTTATCTTTTTATTGATGAGTTAAAGATTTCTTTATATATACTGGGTACAAATCTCTTATCAGATATATGATTTGCAAATATGTTCTCCCATTCTGTGGGAGAGTCTTTTTCACTTTCTTGAAGGTGTCCTTTGAACACAAAGTTTTCAGTTTTGATGAAGTCCAATTTATCTATCTTTTTCTCTGTTTTCTTGTGCTTTTGATGGTATATTTAAGATGGCTTTGCCTAACCCAAGGTCACAAAGATTTACTCCTACGTTTTAAGAGTTTTATAATTTTAGCTCTTACATTTAGGTCTATGATCCATTTTGAGTTAATTTTTGTGTATAGGTGAGGTAGGGCTCCAACTGCATTTTTTTGCATGTCGATATCCAGTTGTCCCATTTGTTGAAAAGACACTGCACTTCATTTTGAAGTACAAAATTATGTCTGCATAATTAGTCCTGCTCCCAGTTAGACTACAAGTACCAAGAGGACAGGGACTGTGTCAATCTTGTTCACCACTGCATTTCCAGCATTCAGCCCAAAGCCTAGCCCCTAATAAGCACTCACAAACCTTGGTCAAATGAAGTATTATTTCTGCTATTAATAAATACTCTACAACTCTATGGGTTATAGGTATTATCTCCATGTTACCTAAGCTCATAGAAGTTAGGCAACATGTGCCTTGTTTTGCTGGTTCTCAATTTTGACTCACATGCCCCATCCTCCCCTAGGAAGGGAGTTAATGAGCTCCTCCAGGGCAGTGATTGCTTCTCCTTCCTCATGGTGTTGCCACCAACATAAATTCAGCTCAGGGCTAGGCACAGAAGACAGGCTGGACAGATGAATGACTGAGGGACAAATAGACAGTGCCCTCCACGGCCAGGTCTCTCCCTCTCTCCAGTTCCTCCTGACCTCAAACTGTGATCAAACAACACCAAACAATATATAATTCCCCCGCCCCACCACATACCCTAGGCTGTTTCTTGCCTCAGTGCTACCACTCATGCGGTCCCCTTTGCCTGGAATGCCTTCCCCTTCTATTTCCCAAGCCCTACTGGTATTTAAAGCCATTTCCTCTAGGATGCTTTCTCTGGTCTCCCAGGTTGGTTAGGGGCATCTTCTGGGCTCCTGTCTGACAGCACTGATCACGCTATGTTGCCACAGTCTTCCCCAGTCTCCTGCATTAAGGGCAGGAATCATGCATGGTCAGGGGTCCCTTGTGCCAAGCATAGGACCCAGCATATGACAGGTGCTCAGTAAATTTTGTCAAATGATCAAATGAATCCTGGAAAGGGCAGGCAGTGTGAGGTTCAAGATTGATATCACCAGGGTTCCTTCTTTAGAGAACGTTTGGGCTGATGAACAACTGAGCTATGCACTCAGCAAAGAGGCCAACTCCCTGCTGGGAGAAGGGAAATGGGTAGGGGTGTTGTTTTTCACTCAAGTTTGTTCTGAAGGAAATGTGATCTCCATTGGGAGAATAGGAGGCCTCACTTCTCTCAGCCCTGATAGCTCCTCACATGGCTCAGCCCAAGCCTGGACAGATGTGCCTTCAATCTGCCCTATGCCCTAGGTTTCGGGTGAGTGATTCCTGCATCCAGAAGCCAGGCTTGGGTATGGGCTGAGCCCAGGAGTAGGGCCACCTGCTCATGATGCGGACAGGTGGGACAGGGGCCCCAGGACAGGGCTTCCACTCCTGAGTTGTCAGAGCTGAACACACTAACAAGGTTTAAGTGCCTTGGGGGAGGAGGAGGGAAATGGCTGCCACATAGGGAGAAAGGAGGAGATAAGGAAGGGAAGAGGAAAGGACCCAGCCTTCCTCTAATATAGCCAATGGACGTATGGAAATAAGACTCTGGACTGTCTGCTTCAAGTTTGCTGAAAAGTCAGTAAAAAGCAACTTTCCCCAAATTCTGTTGTGCTGGGGAACAGAGTATAAGATGTGGGGAAACAGACCTGTCCCTGCCCTGGGGAGGCACACAATCCAGTGGTTTAAGGTGAAGTCTAGCTCACAACCTTCTTAATATCAAGAACAGAATGTGGCGAGTGGCAGATCCTACGCTGTCCCCTCTAGCCAAGCAGGCTCACGCCACACACAGTTAGCGAGCACCACATAAAGCAGGTCAACAGTGCCTCTACATCAGGGTGACTGTCCAGAGCTGTTGGCTTGATCGTCTCATAAGGTTGTCTATAAGGATTCCTGATTTGGGCAGCAGTGAATCTTGCTGCTTTTCTTGTTCATGGACTGAGTGCCTCCTCAGTCCTGACAGTCAGCCCTAGTTCTCTCACCCAGCCTCCAACTTCTCTTCTAGACAAGGATCACTCTCCTGCCGCAGGCTGGCATGGCCCTTTTCAGATGACTTTTTTTTTTTTTTTAAGATTTTATTTATTCATTTGACAGAGATAGACACAGCGAGAGAGGGAACACAAGCAGGGGGAGTGGGAGAGGGAGAAGCAGGCCTCCCGCAGAGCGAGGAGCCCGATGCGGGGCTCGATCCCAGGACCCCGAGATCATGACCTGAGCCGAAGGCAGACGCTTAACGACTGAGCCACCCAGGCGCCCCGTCAGATGACTTTCATACCCTCCCAGACCAGAAGGGAGATGTGGGGCAAAGCAAGGGGAGATCACAGCCAGGTGGGAGGAGTCAAGGAAGGCTTCAAAAGGGCTGTAGCACTTGAGCTGAGTCTGGAAGGATTTAAGCAGAGGGTAATGAGCACTGAGTACAGAGGGGTGGTCTGTGTAGAGGGCTCATACCCAGGACCTACGAACTTCAGATTCCACAGCGTCCTTAAAGAGGAGGATGAAGCACTTCCCCTCTGAGCAGAAGAACCTCAGGCTGCTGCCCTTCACTATCCAGAGCTTTCCCAAGGCTCTAGGGCTAAGGAAGGTTGGGGGACATCAAGGCAGAGATGCACAGAGCCTCAGAAGGGCAATGGGGAAAGAACGGTAAAGGACAGTATTATTCACCAGATCTGAGTTTTATTCCAAATACTGATATCGGAGATGATACTGATCACACACTTGGTGACCTAACCATGTATAAACTATGTTTAAGGGGTTTTTAAAAATTGAGAATGGGACTCTATCCTGTCATAGGCAGGTCTGTTGGACGGAGCTAAAAGCAGGATACACAGGAAGAACCTAAGAGCGGCATGAAGCACCTATGCAGAGTCTAGGGCATAGAAAAGCTGAATAAACACCAGCTGTAGGAATTCAAAAGAACTGTTCTTTTAGGGGCGCCTGGGTGGCTCAGTTGGTTAAGCGACTGCCTTCGGCTCAGGTCACGATCCTGGAGTCCCGGGATCGAGTCCCGCATCGGGCTCCCTGCTCGGCGGCGAGCCTGCTTCTTCCTCTGACCCTCCCCCCTCTCATGTGCTCTCTCTCTCTCTCTCATTCTGTCTCAAATAAATAAATAAAATCTTAAAAAAAAAAAAAAAGAACTGTTCTTTTAGCAAGGATGGCCAGGCTCTCCCCACCTCCACCTCTAGACCTAGCTCTATTAGCAGGAAAAACTATAGTTGATAGGTTACATGTCTGTTTCCTTCGCCCATCTCCAGTACCTTCCAGCAGAGGCCTCCCCATTCATGCATAAGCAGGAAGTCTTTTGGGTGAGGAGGGGGTTCCTAATTCAGGCCTTTCTCACCTTGAATTTGTCTTATTGAAACAGCCTCTCCTCACTTGTTTATTCTTCACCCTTCTGAATGATCCTAATTGAGTCACTCCCCTGCTCAAAAACCTTCCATGTCTCCCCACTGCTTATAGGATCAGAATCCTAGACTCCTCACCATGGGCTTTCTAAGCCCTGCACACTGGTTTCTCTCAAGCCAGCTGCCCTCCTTCCCCACACCCTGCAGTGCTGTACACCTCAGCAGCACCCACAGGACACCGGGCCCAGCAGCCAGCCAGCAGCTCCTGTCCCGTCTTTGCTGTTTGTTCCCTACTCTTTGCTTCAGAGTGGGGGGGCAGAGGGGGACGCAGGAGGTCAGAAGAGTAGCGGTAAGACTGCTGTGCTGAAAGTCAGACTCTGTGCCTCGCTCACCTCTGACTCCCTTACAAGGGGTGAAGGGAGACTGAGTCATCATGACCAAAAGAGATGAGGCAACTGGAGGCAGGAGAAAAGCAGCTAGAGACTGGAGACACACAGGAAAGGCCCTTACAAATGCGAGCCACACAGGCAAGAAGCAATGTTCTGCATCACACACATCAGAAATTCAATCACTTCCTGCATTCTTTTGACGAGTGTTTAATTGCTATTAGAAAAACATTTTTTTTGAGAGAGCTAAAATAATCAACACTCAGGGGCTTAATGGAATAGGGTAAACTCAGCCTCCCCTGGGTGACGGATCAGTGGATTCACGGCATTGCTGCTTTGCAAATACACCACCTAAACTGGGTTGCCAGAGCTAAGCAGCAGCCTGGCAGTCCTCAGCAGGAGGGCTGACCGATCACTGACAGGTGGCTTGAGGGTCAGCAAAGGCCTGGGGGGGGCGGGCACAGCCAGTTTTGCCCCCTCACTCCCCTGTACTGCAGCAGAGGGAAGCGCGGCTCAGCTGTTTCTGGGGAAATGAAGATGCCACGCACAGCCGGCAGTTATGAATGGCTCTTATAACAACAAGCTGACATCTGTGCTTGGTTTTTAAGATGCATCATCGCATGTTTATTAAACTATTGCTCCATCGTATTTATTTGGCTACGAAACAACTCCCAGCCCACACTTCCAAAAGTGGTTTATTAAAAACTAAGCCTTGAACATTAATACTCAAAAGCACCCCTGAGAATCAATAATAATGCTGCAGATAAAATGAAAGGGAATCAAAGCAGTAAGTCTTGGTGGGGGCTGCAGCTGACTTTCAACACTTTCTTATATGTTCAGGCAGCTGGAGTGAGAAGGAGCACCGAGAGTGTGGCACTGAATGCAGGGGTAGCCACCCCAAACACAGGACTTCCTGTCTAATATGTGGACATGGTAGCAGGGAAGGGGGGTATCCTGGGGCCACCTCGCTTTATACAAAGGGCCAAAAAAGGCCAAGATGAAGCCCAGCGCAGGCCACTAGTTTCACCAAGAATAAAACCTCTGCCCCTAACCAACAGCCCCATACTGAAGCGCTGGGGTGGCACCAGTCTGAGCATCTATCCTGGACACAGACTGCCCAGCCCCGGCACCAGGCTGAGCCTCAGCCTGAGTCCTGTCCCTGCCCAGAACAAACCTCAGTTCTAACCTGCCAGTGGTCCTAAGGGGCCCAGCTGAGCCAGGCAGGCTGGAAGAATGCACTCAGCCCCTGAGCAGGAGCCCAGCATGTGCACCCCAGCCCTTCAGGAAGATCTTTCTAGCCCCAGAAGACCCGACAGAAAGGCTTCTTCCAGCTCCCTCCCAAATCCCCAAACCTTTCCATGGGTGCCCACCTGTACCCCATCCAGGCAGCAAGCAATAACACATGGCCAGTTCCACAAACATGTAAGAACAAATTGGAAGATTCAGTAAAGAACCCGCAGGATGTGGAGGGGACTCTAAACCATGCCCTGCTAAGAATAAGACAGTGGAAGGATCCAGAGATGTTTGGGGTCAAGAAAAAAGGAGACACAGGGCTGACTCCCCACCTTAAAAAATCTAAGGGTTGACCTGGGCCAAGGCAGCCCAGGTGACTGTGACTATAGGGAAGTTACAGGGTTCACTTTCCAGATGAGTGTGAGGATTTCCTCCAAGGCAGTCATCACCGGAGCAAGGGGTTCACCCAGCTCAGGCCCTCCAGTAGGGGAGAGCAAGTCCTGGGGATTGACACTCACCTACTGACTTCTTGGACATTGTTGGTGCGAGCAGCTTCCATCAGGGCTGCATCTGAAAAGAAAGGGGGCACTTGTCAGATCCCTGGTCAGGACCTACCCTCAGAGCTAACTGCATGGAGGGCCCAGTAAAACAATGGAAATGGAAGAACTTCAGAAACATGGGCTTTGGGGTGCCTGGGTAGTGCAGTCAGTTAATCGTCTGACTCTTGGTTTCGGCCAGAGTTAAGATTTCAGGGTCCTGAGATCAAGCCCTGCACTGGGCTCCATGCTGAGTGTGGAGTCTGCTTGGGTTTCTCTCTCCCTCTCCGTCTGCCCCTCCCCCCCAAAAAATAAATAAATAAAAGGAAGGAAACATGGGCTTTAACGAAGGAAATGATGCCAAGGCATATAAAGAGAAAGCTAATCATCCCCTGCCTACATGGTAGGCACTGTTAACCTATCTTCCACATCCATTACAGAGCCCAAACTTGTAACTCTTATCATACAGGTGATCCAGGTAAAGTGCTAGCAACCATGTGCTGCCTATGGCAAATGCGTGATATGTGAATCCCTTCACTCTTCATTAGCTAGAAAGCTCAGACTAATATGTTTCACATGGCTGTCATTGTTACTAGTCATCCCCCTACCTCATCCCACTTTCTTCCCCAACACTGATTTCTCAGCGTAGTTTTGAATCTCATGTCAAAAGTCACCAACCCTGCACACAGGAACAGGCAGGGGTGTGGGCTCCTCAGTTAAGAGCCTTGACCAGGAGCCAGGAGGCCCAACCATCTGCCCCCTACTCCCTGGGCTGTGGCAGCCCCTTTCCCTCTCAACTCCAGCTTCCATGACTATAAAGTAGATGCAATAATCCTTGCCCTGGCAAGCCTCACGAGGATTCCAAGGAGATGAAATGATGGTTGAAAAACCTGCCAACTCCTCGGTGCCAAGCTCAGCAAAGGGAGACCCAAAGCAGAGTGTTGCAATCCCTTAGCAAACACCTAGCAGAAAAGCAATGCTAAGCCTGGCCTGGCCTGAGCAGTCTGCAGGCTGTTGGCACCACCTTGTGGCCACAAAGAAAAACTTCGTGACTCAGAAAAACTATTAATAGTAGAGGCAAGATTTTTTCAAATAGTCATGGAGCCCTATGTGCCCAGCATGGTTCTGAGCTCCATTGTTGAACACTGGAGAGACTCATACCCAGCCCTGCCTCAGGGAGTTCTCAGTCCAGCCAAGAGATTCACCCAGCAAAACATGAGAGGAGGCACGGCAGTAGCGTAGAAAGAGCAGGATATGGAGACAGACAGACCTGGGCTCCCACCCCAATTCTGCCACTTACATGCTGTATGAGCTGGCCAACTCATCTAACCTCCTGAGCCTCAGTTTCCAGGGATAAGACAGCCACCTTGTCATGCATACACAAACCAGATCTGTGGTTCAAACATTAGTGTCTCCACCCCACCTGCCAGCCTAGAGTCCAGGGAGAGGTCTTTCCTGGTTATCTTCCCCCATGGTTCTCTAAGCACACATCCAGGGATGCTCAGACAGCCCTCAGTTGGAAGGGGAACAAAGCTTCCTCAGAGATCACTGTAACCACTCTTCCCTCATTCTGCAGAAAGAAGTGGCTTCTGCAAGGTCACAGGGGTAATGAGAAGGAGCTGAGAGTCAGGGCCTCCCGGCTCCTACAGGGTACAGTTTCTACTGCACCATATGTAGGGCCTGAGCTTTTAACTCCAAATCAGGGTACAGCATAGGCTAGCAAAGTCTGAAGGGTTGGAAGTGATCATGGTTTTGGTCATTACTTACTTTAGAAAGTAGACAAAGTCCAGATTGGCGCCCCCAGGAACCTCTAAGGCAAGACCTTGGACCCCTCCCCCAATTCATCTAAGCATACTAGCCTCAGGACATTCCCTGCTCATGAACTTTCCGTGGCTCTCCACTGCCCATGGGAGAAATTCCAAACCCTCCAAAAACCCTCCTGACATCCAGGCCCCACTCCATCTGCTCTCACCTCATTCCAAAGACCCCCTGTCCTCCAATCAGGCTGGCTAACCTGCCAGCCCCTGCACACACCATGCTGACTTGTGACCCCCATATCCATGAAGTCTTTGCATGCAATACAATCCAACTCAAGACACATTTACGGAGTACCTACTACGTTCCAGATGCTATGGTGGACAAACAATGTGAAAGTATTAGGGAAAGGAACTCGTATCAACCTGAAAAAAAGATAAGCTGCATTCCTCGCTCTCATGGAGCTCACAATGTCACTCCTTTTCATCTCTTGCCTCATCCTGCTGAGTATCTTACCCATCCTGACCCTGCTGGCCCTCCAATCCCCCAACAACACATTGTCATACCACTTACCAGACCCATCGGCCTAACTGCCTGAACTGTCTCCTTAAATGACTTTGTGCTGCTAGGAGTTCCACACCTCCCAAAATTGGGCTCACAGAGAGTATTCAAAAAATGCTCAAAGTTATAGAATTATAGCATGCCTAAGCTAGAAGAGCCCTTATAGTCTCTATTTCAACATCCTCATTTTGTAGATGAGGAAACAGGGCCAGTGAGGATGAGAAGCAAGAGTCCAAAGTCACAATGGGAGTTACAGGTAGAACCAGAACAAGATCCCAGAGGTCCTTACTCCCAATTCAGGACCCTTCCTTTACAGCTGGCCACATTCTGCTAAATAAACTCAGTTCAAGGTAGTCCCCATTCTTGCTCCCAAGTCTGAGAGCTTGGGATGCATGAAACCTATGAACACCATGCTTCCAGCTTTACCCCCTGAGGAACTACTGAGAACCTGAGTGGTTGGACTCATGCAGGCCAGAAGTCTGGCTGCCTGCTCTCCCAGTCCCTGCTCAACTCCTTGCACCCAGGTGAGATGGCAAGCTGGGTCAGCCAGCCCCCATGGTTGCTTTTGGGTCTCTAAGGATCCAACTTCCTTGTTTTTCTTCTCCTGCCAACTGTATGGCTTGGCAAGATCACCTCACACCTGAGACCAGGGACAACAAAACCCTGGGGACTCTGATAGGCAGACCCAGACTGCTGAACTCCAAGACTCAAAATAACAGCACTGTAAGAGTACTGAGAAATCATTCTTTACTGTGTAAGGGGGGGAACGTGAAACCAGAGAGGAGCAAGGGGTGAACAGTGGCAACGCTGGTATTGAAACCAAGTTCCTACTTCCTTTCTTAGGCCACCTTTCGCCGGGAAAACTTCTCTGAACTATCTAGTAGTTACCGTTAGAACACACGGTGGTTTCCTGGAGACCTCTTAAAAGAGAAGAATTGGACCAGGCAGAATATTAGGACATAAAAGGACGATGCTCTCATTTTAGATGTATCATTCAATGTCTCCATTGTACAGATGGACAAAGTAGCGCCCAAAGAAGGGAGGTGACCTATGATAGGAAGTGATACAACTCAGAGGCACTGAGCTCTCCTGTTCACCACCCTGCCCCAGTGACCAGACGATGTCTGAGTCCTTCCAGGACTGAAGCTCTGCTGCTCTGAATCTATAAGCAACTCCCGCCCTCCAAAGATAACGGAGTCAGGTCACTCCTCCCGCCTCTATCTTCCTTGAACCCAGACTGCCCCGATAATCACCCTTGTTGGACGGGCTCTTGCTGTAACAGTGAACCACTAGCGCCGTGGCCAGGGCCCACATGCTCAGTCCGGCCCTCTTGGGGACCCCGTTCCAGCTGTCCTGTCCCGGGAGTGTTTCTTCTGGGCTAGGAAGGCGTCCCCATGTTGCGGCTACGAGGCACTGGGTCTCGGTGCGTCCTCCCTGGCGCCCCCATGTGGCTGCCCCTTCTCGGGGGAGGAAGGCCAACGATGTTCCAGGGCGCCCCCCGACGGCCGCCCTCAGCCACTGCGGCTCCCCGCGGCCCGCGGTGGTCACACTCTGGCTGGAGGCACTGCCATGACTCCGGAGCGACGGGGACCTAAGCTGCTGGAGGAGGAGCCGCGGCGCCAGCGCTGTTCTCCTCAACACCAGGAACCCCAGCATCGTGACAGCCGCTTAGATAACCCCCTGGTGCCGGCCCCTGCGCTGGCCGCGTCCAACATGGCTGCCGCGGCGCGTTCGAAGACGCCGCGAACGCGGTGGGATACCGCACTACTTCACGGGAGTGGTAGTCCACAGCCTTAGATTTTTCTGCAACTGGAGAACAAATAAACTACATTTCCCAGAAAGCTGTGGAACATACGTCACAATGACAGACGACTTAGAGGAGCCTGATGCATATTGGGAAATGGAGTTCGAGTGAGGGGGTGTGGTAAGAGGGGAAATGCCTGGGTAAGAACGTGGAGATTAGAATTAAGGTTAGAATCCCAGAGCCTCCTGCCAAGTTTAGTTAAAATATGCGACGCAGTTTCTGACTACTGCAAGTTAAACAGGGGATCTTCAGCAGAAGCCTATTATTAAACGTATGCTTATTTCTTTTAGCCTATTTCTCTTTTTTAGCCTGGGACAGCTTTTCAAAAAAGATGTCTAGGGTAACCAGTACACCTCTAACAGCAATTCTCTTTATTTTCCTACACAGACTTCCTTTCGGTTGAAAAGCTAACTCCTAGTCTTGCTTTCTCACTTGTGTTATTTTCTAAGGGTTTTCACGTGGGTTGTCCCATTGAATCTCATGACAGCTGCATGTGGGGAAGCTGGGCAAGGAATGTTATTCCTGTCTACAGGAAAGGGAATTTCAGTTCAGAGGTGGAAAAAAATTGCTAATCAACCAATCAGTAAAGCTCAGATCTTCTAACTCGGAGCCCAATACCTGCACCCCCATTTCTTCCTCTCTTTTCCAGACTGAACCCACAAGCAGGTAACGGAGGAAGCTCTTTTATGCCAGTCCCATTTCTTACTTCTGCCCTTCCCTTAGGTCTCTGCTCAAACTTCATCTTATCAGAGCCTTCTCTGACGATTTTATTTAAAATAGCAATTCTCTTTCCCACATCCTTCCTATCTTGCCTAATTTTTCTTCACATACTTACCATCTGACATACTGAAAATTTATTGTGTTTAATGTCTTTCTCCAATAGAGCATGAGCCCCACAAAACAGGGACTTTGTTTTTTTCTCTCTTACATTACTAGCACTCAGAACAATGTCTGGAACAAAAAGAGATGCTCAATAAATATTCCTTTGGTAAAAGGATTACTCCTGCCTTATTATTGTGGAGAAATGAATATAAGCTTTGGAGCGCAGGCAGACCTGGATTTCAATTTTAACTCTTGCATTTACTATATGTGTGACCTTGGACAAACTTCCTTACCCTTTTCATTGTTAATTTCCTCATTGTTATCAAAGATAATATGATCTACCCTCAAGTGGATTGCTTGTATTAAATTAGATAATATGTAGACCACCACTGTCCCTGGCTTATATTAGGTCTTCCAGAAATGGCAGCTAGCATTGTTTTCCCTGCTCTAGGGGTGCACTGGATTCCCTACTCTAAACTTCATTTTAAGTTTTTATTTAAATTCCAGTTAGTTAACATACAGTATAATATTAGTTTCAGATGTACAATATACATCAGCCACTCTATATATTACTCCGTGCTTATCGCGGTAAGTATACTCTTAATACCCTTCACATATTTCACCCATCCCCCCACCCACCTCCCCTCTGGTAACCATCAGTTTGTTCTCTATAGTTAAGAGTCTGTTTCTTGGTTTGCCTTCCTCTCTTTTTTCCCCTTTGTTCATTTGTTTTGTTTCTTAAATTCCACATACGAGTGAAATCATATGGTATTTGTCTTTCTCTGACTTATTTCGCTCAACATAATACTCTCTAGCTCCATCCATGTTGTTGCAAATGGCAAGATTTCATTCTTAAAAATATGGAACACTTTGGGTGCCTGGGTGGCTCAGTTGGTTAGGCGACTGCCTTCGGCTCAGGTCATGATCCCGGAGTCCCGGGATCGAGTCCCACGTCGGGCTCCCTGCTCGGCGGGGAGTCTGCTTCTCCCTCTAACCCTACCCCCTCTTGTGCTCTCTCACTCTCTCTCTCTCTCAAATAAATAAATAAAATCTTTAAAAAAAAAATATGGAACACTTTACAAATTTGCATGTCATTCTTGTGCAGTGGTCATGCTAATCTTCTCTGTATCGTTCCAATTTTAGTATATGTGCTGCCAAATCGAGCACCCTACTCTAAACTTGAGGGCAGAGATGGAGTTTCTTATTTCCGATCTTTAGTAAGGCACTCAGTAAATAGCTGTTAAATGGACAAATGACTTCTTAAATTACTCAATAGCAAAAGCATTTTGACCTTCCTATTTTAAGAGAGTCCCAGGACATCCTGTTTTATTAGACACTCTACTCAGGATAGCAGCTTCACCCTCCCTGTATTCTTAGAATACTTGTGCTTCCCAACTTAGGGCTGATCTCAGCCAGAAGGGCGATCTCTGATGACCCATTACCAGGTGGGTCACAAGATGGTGTGAGTATGCATCACTCAGCCCCTCCTACTGCAGGCGCTTTCCAGCACCTTTCAGTTTACTGCGCAACTTGCAATCATTGGGTAATTCTCAAAGCACTTACCCATTGATTACCCTATTTGATTTTCATAAATAACATTGGGGGGGGTGTCAAGGCAGGGTTGAATTAGAAGAAAACATAAAGTAATTAAACAAATAGAGTAGGGAAGCTTTCTGGGTGTGACACAAAACTCAGAACCCACAATAGAAAAGACCGATATATTTGACTCTACAAAAAAATAATTCTGATAGTGAAATATATATAGTGAAAAATATACACAGTGAAAAAATGACAATATGGGGAAAAAATATATCCACACCACAGTGATGAAGGGCTACGTAATACAGAAAACTCCTACAAAATATGCAAAAGGCCTACCATACAAGAGACATATGCACAAGGGCAATGCCTATGGTAGCTTATACTGTGCCTTTGTGCAAAGTAAAGAACGGGTCTCCCTGAGGATGAATTAGAAAAAGAACCTGCACAGTGTGTGTGACTAGGTGAGCAGGGCGCTGCCGGATTTCACCCTTCCACTTCCATGAGCTGCATAGCCAAACTTAGCAGCCTCAAGCAAAGGACTTGACCAAAGAGCTCACGAGAAAAAAAAATACAAGTTGTATTTAAACATATGAAAATATGCTCAACTACACCCATGATAAGAGATGTACAAATTAAAGCTTTATTGATCCATATCTTACACCATAAACAAATCATCTCAAAATGGATTATAGACATAAATGTAAAACCTAAACTCTAAAACTTCTAGAAGAAAACATGAAGAAAATCTTCCTGATGTTCAGTGAGGCAAAGATTTCTTAGATATAATACCAAAACCATGATCCATTAAAAAAAAAAAAGGTAAAATTTGACTTTGTCAAAATTAAGAACTTTTGCTCCTCAAAAGCCACTGTTAAGAGAATTAACAGAGGGGTGCCTGGGTGGCTCAGCTGGTTAAGCGGCTGACTCTGGATTTCAGCTCAGGTCATGGTCTCAGGGTTCTGGGATCTAGTGTCATCAGTCTCCATGCTCAGCAGGGAGAGAGAGTGAACAGAGAAACCACAAAGGGGAGAAAATATTTGTAAATTATACATCCAATAAAGACTTGTACCAGAATATAAAAAGGATTCTCAAAACTCAATACAGTAATGAGAAAATGACCCTATTTTTAAAATGGGAAAAATATTTGAATAGACACTTCACCAAAGTGAAATAAAATAAACACATGAAAAGACCCTCAATACCATTACCACGATTCATTAGGAAAATGAAAATAAAAAATTACCACTACATATCTATTAAAATGTCTAAAATTAAAAAGACTGACCCTACCAAATATTGGTGAAAATTTAGTGCAGCTGGAACACTCTCATGCTGCTAATGGTAATGTAAAATGGTAGAATTTCTTTGGAAAACAGTTTGGCGGTTTCCTTAAAAGTTAAATATACATCTACCATATGATCCAGCCATTCTACTTCTAGGTATTTACCCAAGAGAAAGAGAAACCTATGTCCATACAAAGACTTGGTCATGAATATTTTATTCGTGATAGTTAAAAGCTGGAAACAACTGGGACCTGGCTGGCTCAGTTGGAGGAGCATGCAACTCTTGATCTCAGGGTTGTGAGTTCGAGCCACACATTGGCTGTAGAGATTACTTAAAAATAAAGTCTTTAAAAATAAAATCTTTAAAACAACAACAAAACCAGGTGGTTATTTAAAAAACCTCTGCTACAAGCAAAAAGAAACAACCTAAATGTCTACTGAAACAAGAATACATAAAGAAATTGTAGTGGATCCATACAGTGGAATACTACTTAGCAATAAAAAGGAATCAACTATTGATAGATGACATGGATAAATCTCAAAATAATTATGTTGAGTGAAAGAAGTGAGATTAAGAAAAAAGACTGCAGGGGCACCTGGGTGGCTCCATAGGTTAAGCAGCTACCTTTGGTTCAGGTCATGATCCTGGGGTCCTGGGATCAGGCCCAAGTCAGGCTCCCTGCTTAGCAGGGAGTCTACTTCTCCCTCTTCCTCTGCAGCTCCCCTTGCTTGTGCTCTCTCTCTCACTCTCTCTTTCTCTGTCAAATAAATAAATAAAATCTTTAAAAAGAAAGAAGAAAGAAAGAAGGAAGAAAGAAAGAAAGAAAGAAAAAGAAAGAAGAAAAAGAAAGAAAAAAGACTGCATGCTGTATTATCCCATTTATATAAGATTCTAGAAAATAAAATCTAATTTATAATAACACAAAGCAGACCGGCAGTGGTTGTATGGGGATGGGTGGGAAGGAAGGTGTGGGGGAAGGGGGATTACAAAAGGATACAAGGAAACCTTTGGGATGATGGATATGTTCATTATATTGGTTGTGGTGATGGCTCACAAGTGCACAAATGTCAAAATTGATCAAATTTATACTTTAAACATGTGCAGTTTATTGCATGTCAATTACACTTCAACAAAGTGTTCTTAAAAACTATAAGATAAGGGTACCTGGGTGGCTCAATCGGTTAAGCGTCAGACTCTTGATTTCGACTCAGGTCATGATCTCAGGGTTGTGGGATCAAGCCCCACACTCAGAGCACGGAACCCGCCTGAG